GGATAAGGATCAGTCAGGCATACAAGGTGTAGGGGTTAGTACCTCCAGTAGGGGTCACAGGGCACTCTATGGGGGGCAGTCACATCGGCGGCATATAGGGCCTTACTATCCCTAGAAGTCACTTGTAAGGTGGTGACATGGAAATTTGTCCATTCCTTTACAAAGTACTATAGGATTGACAAACTAGCCTCGGCAGAAGCAGCATTTGACAGTAGAGTGCTCCTTCAGGCCCTGTAGGCACCGGAAGTTGTGTGACCCACCCGGGGGGAGCACTGCTTTTTTACGTCCCAGGAGTAAGGAGTCAAGGACTGCCCCACTCCTGGACCACCGGAGAATGGAAGATTTGTATTAACTTACTGTGAAGCTTCCTTCTCAGTGGTCCAGAGTGGGGCAGTCCTACCCACCCTCTCTTGATGGACACGACTTCCTGTCCTTTACATTTTGCAGTGGTTCAGCTGTTCATGAATATGGTCTAACTGATTACGTGATGTGGCGGACTGTTGCTGTTTGTTTGCTCTAATGGTTAAAATACAGGTTTGTGTTTGTTTAAGCCCATGGCTGTGATGGTATTCCCCAGTTGTCTGAGGGGGAAGGAGTTATTTTTTAAGTGAATTTACAGGAGCTCGGGGGTGGCTTTCAGTATGACTGGGGATCAGAGGATAAGCCCCTCCCCTCTGGGATCAAAGTTTGCCGGCCCTGCCTACACAAGGGGGAGGTGCTTTCCCAGGAGTAAGGAGTCAAGGACTGCCCCACTCTGGACCACCGAGAAGGAAGCTTCACAGTAAGTGAATACAAATCTTCCATTCACACAATGGAAAGCTTGAAGATTGGGAGCTTCCAAGATTGGAAATCAGTCATCTTTGCTCTTGTAGAGTGTCTTATGTGCCTTTGTCTCTTTGTAGTTGCGGGAGCTGGTCAGCATGTGCATATACCCAGATCCTGATCAAAGGCCTGACATTGGTTATGTGCATCAGCTAGCAAAACAGATGCATGTTTGGACCTCCAGCACTTGAAGAGTCAGCAAATGTGCTCCATGAAAAGCCAGCCCAGCTTAGTCTTACTTGAACCTTCTGTCTCAGAATGAAACCAAGAGGTGCCTCACCAAAGTCAAGCGAGAGAGTTGAGCCTTCATTGAAAGACGCTTCATGATTTCTGCAGGCCACTTGCAGGGTTCTCACAGAGTGGATATGCTCTCAGTGAAGGCTGTGAGATGCTGCTGCAGGTGTGTGTTATTCTTTTTAAAGCCAATAACATGTTACAGACGTAGATAACTTAAGATCCTTTCTTAAAACTGTTGTGTGTAATCTAGGTTAGACTAAAAGCAAGGGTTTCTCACTGTGCATCTGACACACCCCTTGTATTTTAACTAATGTGAAATATTGAAATAATTCCTTTGTGAAATCACTTTATACTAATGTAAGAATTTCAGTAGAATTTGTGTAATTTTGTATAACTGCTACTTTGCCTCTTCTGCAAATGGTTAATAGCAAATTCAGTTTCTAGTTCATTTATTTTTTAAAAGTATCTGCCTGGAGTTTTTATACTTTCCCTTCTTTGCAAAAATAGAATATGGAGAAAGGGGAACACCTCTGAAAGTTTTTTTAAAAAACTGAAACTTTAAAATGGCTATTATGCATTGCATTTTATTTGTTAATGTGGCTGCAGCTGAGGAAGACTCCAGAATCTGCCTCACACCAAAGCTTTTTTGTAACGTTCCTTGCCTGTACAGGCAGAGAACTTGTGAGAATCTCAATAGCTATTCTTACACGAAGACCAGTGTTACTGTAAGCAGAAGTTTTGTTGTTTTTTTGGGGGGGGGATACCTTTTTGTAAAATCACTGGTACTTCAGCAAGCCCACAATTACTTTAAAGCAGTGTTTTTAAACAATGTAGGGGTATGACATTGAGCATGAAATAAGCAAAGTTAAAGAAAAAAATCATTTTAATTCAATATCACAACTCTTCTTTACTGTGAAAACTCATTTATAAATGTGAATATTTTAAACAAGCTGATTTGAAGGAAATTTGTTAAGGCTAACTTAAATTTTTCTCACATATTTTTAAATCAGCCAAATTAATACACTGTCCCTAGAAATGCCTAGTAGGAATAGGGCTGCACTCCACAGTTTCTGAAATACAATATTTAGAGGTGTGACATCAGAGTTCTTCAAGGACTGGAGTATGGCCTCTGGGCTGAAGCCTCAAAGGAAATACTACTTTTTCTATAGATAAATGGCTAAATGTACTTTCAGTGAGTTTCTGCAGCTCACTTCCTGCCTTTATAAGGAAAAGGGCAGTGCCAACTGCTAAGCAATTTTGAAGTAATCCTCCAAGGTGTTAATAGCAATCTGTTTAATTGCTGTGAAGTTGCATGTATTACAAGCCCACAGAGAAGTCCAGTCTATTGATCTCTTTAGACAGCCAGGAAATTTTCAGCTCTGCAGAAGTTGTCTACCTGTAATTCTGTGCTGAGCTGCTTACAAACTGGGGGTGGGGTGTCTTTTTTTTTTTTTTTTTAAGCAAGCAAAGAATTTTTTTGATGTGTGACATTGAATAAGTCTCTGGCTGTTGGGAGTTTCAAATTACATATCAGTCTGCTAACGCTGGTCTCTTTCTTGCTACTTAAGATCTTTTAGCACTTAAGTAAATGTATTTCCAAAGAAATTTTTGCAACTGTGCATTTTTAGATAAGATTTAAATGACTTACAAAATAAACAGTTTTCTTTGTAAAAAGAAAAGCAGCACCCAGCGTGGAGGCATGCAGTTGGTAATTTGCATGTCTTTGGGTTTAGAGGTTTTATCTTGTCAGTGGTTTCTTACAAAAAGGATTGACTTGAAGCGTGAGTAGAATGCCGTTAAGCCTGCACACTCCTGTTTTCTGCAACATCTGAACAATGATGATTCAAAGCCAAACATGGTGGAAGCAGTTTTAAAATAACAAAACTCACATACTTCTGGAACAAGCTAGCAACAAGATTTCAGTCTCAAGTTCCCAAGGTAGGCTGAGAGCTGGTATCAACATCCCCTCATCACTCTCCCCCTAGATTAGAAAGGTGCTCCTGGCACCAATCCCCCCCCCTATAATTTAGCTATCTGAAGCTTTTGAGAAGGCCCTTAAGAGGGAAGGGTCTGTGCCTGATTGTTGGAGGATGTACATATACTGAAGTGTTATGAATAAGCGTATCAGTTGTGTCCCTGACATTTTGTGGCACTTTCCTGTAGTACTCAATGCACATGAGGGGGGGGGGGAGGGTGGAACATTAGGCCTATTTACACATTTTAAGCAGACATGGCTGAATCACGGCACTTGAAATGTGTGCAGTGTGAATACATTTATTTCTCCTCAGGTACATCCACAAAATTAGTGCCAAACAAATGATTAACTGTGAGAGTTTGTTTTAAAAGTCACTAGCCTACTCTCAAGGAAGTAATGGAACATCTAGCTAAACAGCCTTCCTTGATGGAGCCAGTTGGGCTACACTTGTCTATTCCCATAAAGCAAAGTTTACTTACCCTGTGTGGCCAGACACTTATCCACATTCTGTCCCCAGAGGTGTGTGTAACCCAGCACTAAGTAAATTGTCTATTCAGAGCCATAAGGAATGCTCACTTGCATATTTGTGAGTCTTCCTCTGTTCCCACATTAAATCACTTAATCAACTATTTCCCATTGATGTTTATTAATTCTGAACAGCCCAGCATACACAAAGGTGTTTCAATATAAAAGCAATACACCTGGCCCACTCCAAGGCCTTGAAAGTTTAATAAATCAAGATGTGTCCATTGTTTGTACTGTTTCATCCATCACTTCAAGATCCAGCAGAGTAACTTTTTCAGTGAGAATGCCCGTGGTTCCTCTTTCACACCTGTATTTTCCTTGCCTGTTGGAAGAAGAAACCATCATTGGGTAAAAGGTACTTAAAAACCTCCAGCGGTCAATGAATACAGCAAACAAGTGATGCCTCATTCACACTTCGTACAGAAACTGGATATAATCAGCAGTTGGAGTCTGAACTAAACAAGATGGGGATTCAACTGTATTTATACACATGGACACTGTTCATGTCTTGCATCATCTTAATAAAAGCTGTGGGAGAACTAAACCCTGCCTGTTCCTTACTTCACTTCATTGTGTTCGTCTCCCACCCCCAGTACCAGGGTGCAGCAGGATTTAGTTTTAAAAACTGCTTTAGATGTGAACAAGCAGGAATCTGAGAGAAACTCACTGGGAAATCCCCACTCCTGCGAGGAGGGCACTGAACTCTGGTAGTGCTTGGGAAGGAAGCAGAGGGAAGGGGCTTGTTGCCAGGTCATGGGGGCTGGCCCCAGATGCCTAGGGTCCCTCCCAGCCCTAATACAATTGGTATTGAGTACCTGCTAGCTAGAAGGAAGGAAGGACAGTAGTGGTAACCCAAAGTCCTTCCCCCTTTAGTGTTTGTGATTTTTCTGGGGGTTCTCAGTACTGTAGAAAAATTATCCTTGCCTGTGTCTGATCCCATTCTCTTGGTATATTGATCTGCACAAGGGCCAGGTTCAGAATTACATGAGAATCTCAGAGATTCAGGTTTGAATCCCCACTCTGCCATGGAAATTTGCTAGATGACATTAGACAAATGTCTGATGATACAACCAAGGTGGGGAAATGTATGTTGCCCTGGGTCCCCTCTGGGACAGAAGAATGTAGTATAAATAAACCTTCTGCTTACATGGGTAAAATACATGGTAGAGCCAAGTTTAGTTTATTTCTATTACAGTCCTTAGACCAGATATGCTTACAGATATATATACAGTAGAAGCAATAAAAGAGAAGTGGCCCCTTAAAGATCAAAGACAACACATTTATTCCATCACATTCCTCAAAAATGTATGCTGAAATAAATTTTGTTAAAGATTGTCAATGGGCTTCTGAGCATCAGGTTTCATTTTAGACACAGCATCATTGCAGCCTCTGTTACACACCTCAGAGGAAAAAAAATCCCCACAGCTCAGGCAAGAAGGTACAGAGTTCTGAAAAAGTCTGCCCCTCCAACTGATACCAGAGTGAGTGCCAGTTTTGCCTGTGGGAGGTTCTGAAAGCAAACCTCAGCTGACCTTGCCCAGAAGAGCTAAGCACTACCTAAGTATAAGAACACAGAATGCTATTTATAGAAAACCTTTCTTATCTTGCTTTTAATAGCAGGTTCCATGGTTACTCCACTGTGTCTCACACATGGGGTGAAAGTACAGACTGCAAAACCTGTCAGTGGACACAGACTCAGCAGTTCTAAATCTCAGTGGGTTTCTATCCAGCCAAAGGGAAATGACATGATCAAGAACCACAACTCCTCATGAAAAACAACTTTTCCGGAAATTTTGAAGCTCGGGGGGAAATCCGGGTTTTTCCCCGTTTTTTTTCGGGGGAAAACGGAAATTTTCGGAAAAAATGAAAAAATGCTAAATTGAAAAATTGAAAAAATGCTACATTAGCATTTCTTTTGTCTTTTCTAGTTTGAAAGTCATTCTGTTACTTTAGGAACATAAAATATGACTATGGACATTTTTACTTGGCATGAAATTATCACAACTAGCATATTAAAAATATAGTGTATCCAAACAATTATTACAGAATATCCACCCACATGCAAAAACAAAACTGAAACTTTTTTATTTTCTTCTGACAATCGCACCTCCTAAAGGAAGAAATGCATCTTGTTCTTGCATTGGAGAGTTCAGTTTGTAACCTAGGACTTGTTTGTCCTCAGTGCACAGAAATTACAACAATCTAATACCATATATATTACCATATTATACCATATTTATATATATAAAAGAAATGATTTGGAAAATATTTGAACACCTGGTCTTAAAATATTTTATTCATTATGTTAAAATAAAACGTTCCATAATCAATTCTTTTCTTTTTTCAATTTTTCCAATATTTCGGAAAAAAACAAAAAAGGCTTCAGGAAAAAAACAGGAAAAACCCAGGGTTTTTCCAAATTTTTCCGTTTTTTTTCCGGCCCTTCACATCTCTAGATCTTACACTCCCCACATAAGACATTTTGAATGAGCACTGTATAGTAACAGAAAAGGAACTGTTGTGATTTTAGTCTCTGGAGACCTGGGGTTTGTCAATGTAACCCCAGTTTTCATTACACAACCCTGTACTATTGTGTACCATTTTCCATAACATGAGACAATAAGGAACAACTCTCCCTGAGCTAAGATGCAATTCTGACACTCCTGTTGAGGTATTGCAATGTTGGTATTGCAAAATTTCACCCAGCAAAGAGAAAACATTTGCTTCCCGCACACGAAGAACCACCCCTTCAACCCAAACCATTTTAACTGGCACAGCCAGCCAGCTGTTCTCCTTCAGGAAATGCTGGCTCTGTTGCACCCTTGTGAATGTCTCTCTCAAAGCCCTCTGTTCCTATCACAATGAACTCATACAGCTTTTGAAACTAGCAGGCCTCCTCAGATTGACAAGTGCTGCAGGAACAATTCTTTTGTTAATTTGTTTTTCAAAAAAAGAGCATATTAATTATCTAAACTAGGACAGTTTGTACCATCAACTCCAATCAGGACAACATTCTCTGAAGTACTTCCAGTTACAAATGTTCGCAGCCCATAGATGCAATCCCCACACACCTGGTATGTATTAAGCTTCTGAAAACTAAGTGGAATCTACAGGCACTCAAAGAATCTATCACCACTGGCAAGACACTCACCTTTCCCCCTTTTTGTTCGGTGTGTCATAAGGACGGAGGAAGTCCAGCTTGTTCTTGCTTATGACACACAGATCAATATTGCTGCCTGATCCCAGATCATTGTATATCCCAGCTGCAATGGCATCTCTCACAAGCTGCTTGGCTTCCTCTTCCTGGAAAAAAAGTTCCAAACAAATATTAGTGGCTCAGTCCTCCCACACTTCCAAGCAGTTATGCTGGGCTGTTCATCACACACAAACTCTCAGGTATTTCACACCTTCAGCAAATCACAGAATACAAACACGGGAAAGGCAGAGGGACTCTTCTATAGAAACAGCTGGTACTTCAAACAGGCAGAGAAATATTAAGGCAGTAACTCGAGGGAAGATGGAACTGCCATTCCTGCAAATATGCCAGTGCAAACACACGTACATGTATATGCACGGCATCATTACCATACTGAATTACGTCTATGCCTGAGCAGCTCAGCAGGATCAACCCACAACAGGAATGGTTCAGATCTAAACCCTGTGCGTGAACATTTACTATCAAGTTATACACCCCAGGCAAAACCATTACTAGTTGGCATTCAACCAGCTGCCGCCACCACCATCATTAAGCTTGAACTTCAAATGTACCCCGCCCTCTTTGTAAGGCAACAATTCTGCAGGTAAGCAACTTCTGCACAAAACTATGAACATATCTGTTATTCTGTTGCCCAGTGAAAGGGGTGCAGACAAATGTTGCTGCACATTTGTAATTGTATTCAGCTCTTGCTTATTTTTGACAATATAAATCTGCAATATTCCCCCTCCCACTGCTTATTTGATCAGATACAGACTTTAGTAGTTAAGATCCCAGCCAAGGAAGAAGTCCCATCACAGGTATTTCCTGATGTACTGTTCCTGATGTTTTTCTTAGAAAATAAAACCCAAATTTATAAAAGCTAACAAAAGATGGGCCACACACAAATTGGAACAGACCATCTGACTTTAAAAAAAAATCCACCAAAACAGTGTTTAAATTGCTTCAGCAACACATCCTGTACAGGTAACCACAGCTTGCACTTTAAAAATTATACAAGAACAAACTCTCCTCTGAATACCTTGCACAGTCATCCTTTTAATAGATGATTTTCCAGCAGAGAACAGATGCATTTGGTGACCAATTCTGTGCATCAAGAAATACCCTTAATAAAGTGCCACCCTCTACCATAAACAGGAAACGGAAGGAATTCCCCATTACATTAGCACCCTCTACAGACTCAAAGAAGAAAGGAAATTCGTATTTCAGTAACTTTTCTGGACAAGCATTTCTGGCCTAAATGGCAATGTTTTCAAATTATGATTTTAGTATTTTGGGAAGAATCTGTGGAACACAGCAGTGAATAACAGCACTGTGGAACTACAGACACACACAGTTCATATGGTTTCCTAAGCACAACTGGGTTTCCTTATAACCTCTAAGTAGTGCCAGGAGAAGGTTAAATTGCATATTATTTTGCTAGTGGTGAAGGGCTTGTCTTTAAAGCTTGTCCAGTTAAAGATTTCTAAAATGGCAACTCCCCTTCAATAACAAACTACTTACAAGTTTCTTACTAAACCTAAATTTGCAATTCCCACCATACCCCAAAAGCCCCCCTAGAATAATTCTGTATTAATCGCTAAAATATCTCAGTAGAAGAATCTGATTGAAAGTGCCAGTATCCTCAAGATCTGGCTTGCTTCCCCTGTATGGGAAATTCTCCATTCCAGCTGACCACTTACCGAACCCTTGCTCTCGGAAGCCCACTTCTGCTTCTCCAGAACAATCCATCTTCAGACTACCTAACCCTACAGAGCTGCCCATGCCAAGGCTCCTTCTAGCTCAATGCTCAGCTAATAGCCAGAGGGCAAACAGCAACTCCTCCCATCTCCTATAAATCCTCCAGACATAGCCTCAGGCTTCACCACAGGAGAATACGGATTGCAGGGTGTATTTTCATTCTAATCCCAAGGGGTTCTCAGATTTAAGCAGCAGCTGCATGAGTATTGCTGAAGAGGCCCCTGAAGTGCAATTGTGCCTTTTCCCAGCACATGTTCAGCACACTCTAGTGATCCTCCACACAAGGGGCTTCCTATGGAGGCCCCCAAATTCTCACAGCTCAATTAGGACAGAGACCAAGAGGTTTGCATTCAGCCAGACATCCTTCAACCAAATGAAAGAGGAAATTTTTCAAATACTCTCAAATTAAGCTTTGGCCTGGGGTCACCCTGTGAATGACTGGTGTATGGCAGCACCTTGCTTAATTCTAGAATAATTTTCATTAAATGCAGTAATACCAGGGATGATTCAGACATGTCCATGAAAATCTGCTAAACCTAGTCTTTAAAAAAACAGTGTAGCAAGAAATAATTCAGTACAACAGCAAGCAAAAACAGATACAAAAATCTGAAACTAAGGGGGGGGGAATCAACATGACAATTTGGATCAACAGTGCAGGTTTTTTTTCTATCTTTCTTTGAAGATTGCTCAACTTTTAGCCAATTTCAATAGTATTTGAGTTTTTAAAACTGCTTAAGGTACTGAGAAACTAAATTTCATTTATCAAGGTCCCATATAATTAAAATACTTTCAAAGGAAGATTTGCCACATCAGGCCCATGCAACATTTTAAAAAACTTGATTTAACACCTCCTTCCTATTAAAGGAGCAGTCACATGTACTACAGTATTACTATTGCACAAAAAGATGGTTGTAATGGCACTGAGAAACCTTGGTCCTGCATACAAGCCCCAAATGCCAGCTCCCACCAAGTGAGTTTTTTTAGAATCACGAGAGGCTTATAATGAAAATGCTGACAGTCACAGTCTTAACGATGGTGGCACAAATGACGCAGTGTAATAATTAATCTTTTTTTAAAAAAAAAACCCCTCTAAAACTTCTGAGTATATAAAAGGCGCACTTCTTCCTTTATGGTTGCAAAGACCAAGCTAACTGGGAATATCATCCTCTGGGGTCCACGGATGCTCCTTAAATGAGATTACTGTAAGAGTGATGTACTGTAATACAAGTCAGCTGTGACAAGCAGCCCTTTATAGACCGCTCGGCTTCCTCCATTGCTACATCACACAATGTGTCCCAGGACTCCAATGTGCTCCTCCATTTACCGCCACATGACAAATGGGCAGCACTTGTAAAAAGCACAAAGAGGTCCGGGCCAGCTACGTAATGGTCACCACAGCTGTGCCAAACTGCTGGAGGGGGGCACAGCAGACCCCCAAGTTCATTAAACTGACCAGTAATGGATCTTTCAAAATGCGTCTGAGGAATTGAACAGTAAAGGCTAAAATAAATAACTCAGCATGGAGGCTCATCCGAAATGGTGTTTGATAAATTATTTATAACTGAGGAGATTGTCTGCATTTAATTTTGGAGCTACTGGTAGCATCTTTAAAAGATGATTTATGTGTTGTAATGCCATTAAACTCTATATTGGCCCACTGCTGGCTATAAAGTCTGCTGAGATTTAGAGAACGAGTTTTAAACTGTCACAGCAACATCATAGTAGATAGAAACAGTATTAAATCTTTACTTTAAACCCGTTATCTGGAGAATTGCATTTTGTAGACACTCCAAAACTGATAGATTACCTCTCTCCAACTGCAGTGGCAAGAGTCCCAAATAGCCCTCCCCTGGTAGAGAACTTCTCTACATTAGTCTTCCAGAGAGCTCCAGTCACTTAAGTGATTTGCAGAGCAGGGAGAGCAGAGCACCCAAATTTAATTTCAAGCATTCTACAAGGGAAAAGGCTGGTCAAGGATGTATCAAATGTTCAACAATTTCTTACAAAAAGCTTTCAAGAGAGAACCACTTCACTGATGTTTCTGAATGTCTCAGACAAAATAATGTGAGTGTCTGCGGTACGCTATCCTATTAAAAACAGTTTGGGAACCTAAAAACTAATTTTCATATATGTTTGTTTATATTTTTATCTAGCCCCTCTCACCCAGGCCCAAAGCAGCTTACATCATTTTCTGCTTCTCGGTTTTATCCACACAATGATCCTGTGAGGTACTGGTTAAGCAGAGAGTATATAATTGGTCTGAGGTCATCCAGCAAGCTTGCATGGCAGAGTGGGGATTCAAACCTGGGAGTCCAGATCCTAGTCTGGCACTCTAACTACGACACTCTAACTATGACACAACACTGGCTCTAGTCTGCAAACAATTACTGTATGCCATTGGTAGCAATTCTGAGTGCACCAAAAGGTCACCTACATGTTGAAAGCAGTTTGCTTTTAAACTGCTACATCTTGCTAAAAATCCAGTTTCCTCCTAAACTCTTCTTTGCAGTTCCAATGTGTGCAAATGAAATTTGCTCAACACCCTTTTTGTACCCCAAAAGCAAAATGTACAAATTACTTTAAGTATCTCTGACATGACCAGGGGAATGTTAGTGCCATAGTAAAAATCTATACAAAAGTATTGGGAGTTTGGGACCAGGCATGAAGAATGCCAGGTCTTACAGAAGGCTAATTAGACCTTGGAAGAGTAATCGGCAGACTTGATTGTGTAGAAATGTGGATACGCCTGTCTTCTGGGAGAAATTTCCTCACAATCAATACATAACGGGAAGCAAAACTAAATCTACTGGGAAGCTCTGGAAGGGAGCTGACCCCAGGCAGCCACTCCAAATCAAAAGAGTTTGACTGCTTCATGATCCGTCTCTTCTGTCCAGCCCCCCCTCCAGTTTTTTTTGGGGGGGAATCCCAAAGAGGAAAGGCTGGAAAGGTTGGTTCACATCTGGCATGTGCCTGTGAACCAAGCACCATCTTTGGAATCGATAGGGAAATACTAGCAAAGGCACCTTTCATTCTGATGCTCAATACTTCCTACAGTGCAGTGGGAAGGGAATGAATGCACTTCAGAAAATGTTTTGAGGCTTAAACCTCAAACTGATTAGAAGTGGCAAGGTTTTTGCTTTGTTCCTACTTTGCTTTTGAGTGATCACTCAGGAAATGTTAAAACTGTCTGAAACAGTTACCAGCACAGTCCTTATTTGGGACAAGACTGGTTTGTGTAAGCACACTATTTCTCTCATTCATCTATTTATGGAAAATGGTCAAGCCACACATTTCTGTGGCTGCAGACTATTGAAGGCTGTCTTCTCAGAGACTGGAAAGTATACTGCAA